AAATATAACCTAATCCTGCTTCTTTAGTATGTAAAGACAAGGATTTACAACACATCAGAAAATGGAGGATAAATATTGCAAAGTATTGTTCAGGCAAGTTGACATTTTTTTTAATTTTTTATTTTTATTTTTGTTGTTTTGTGTACCGTCGAATTGGATCTGACTGGCACAGGAGATATCTCCTCCTTCTCCAGCCGAGCATCTGGTGGATTCAAACCGGGTGTCTTCGGCATTGCAGTGCATCTTCTTGCCACTAGGCCACCAGAGCTCTCTAAGTTGACAATTTTTTTGGAACACAACTCAATACATGACATAGGTTCATATTCCAGATCTTTGACATTTATTATCTCTGAGTCTCAGTAAAAGTGCATAGTTTTGTAGGGTTATTTTTTTTAATCAACAATGCATTGTGAATAGTTGTTAATATGGTTCATATATTATCCACAGGGTTAAGAATTAAATAGAATAACATTTTAATTTGTAAGTGAGCCACTTATTTTTTTTTAATCACATCTCTTTGTGAGTTTACACACTCATTAATTCCTTCACTCCTTGAATAAGCACCACCGAACACTTAGTATATGCCTGGCACCATGAACAGACTAAGTCTGTCATTCACTGCAGTCAGTAATAACCTAAACTGCCACTGAGCTCACCGTCAGTCCAGTGACCAACCTCACCGTATCCTAAATGCAGGCCCTTACACCTGCCCACTCACATGATCTTACATCTTCCCAATGAACCCCGCCTGCCCAGAACCATCCCTTTTCCTCTCAGATACAGTCTCTGTAGTCATGAACAGTCTCACCTCTGCCATCGCCCTGAGCCCTTGTGAGGGCAAGAGGCTCCCTCTGATCATATTTTCAACACCTCCTTTGCATCTCATTTCTCTCTTGCTTCTCTGAATCTCTCTCTGGAGGAAGAATGTCCCAGTTCCCCCCTTACAGTGACTATTTAGTCCCAGGTCTGACAATGTCTTGATAAGGCCTGACCATATCCTGATAAGGTGACTAAATGACCTAATCCTGATAAGGCTCTGGGCCTGATCATAGGCGGACAAGACTCCTGCCCCCAATTTCCCAGGCAAACTACCATCCTCTCTACCATCCCCATGTCTTTAACAGCCCCTGTAAAAGAAAACTGCTCTTGTCTACCTGCATGCTGTTCTGATCTCTGTGAGCAGTCACCTGACATCCCTTCTCAGACCACTTAAAAAAGGCCTGTTTGTTTCTGGGGACCAGTTTCTTCTTTTTTCCTCTCTCTCAGGTCATTTTCTATCTAGCACTCTCTTTTTCCTCTATTTTCCCCTCAAATTCCCAAATAGCTATTCCCTCTAATCCAAGAAAGGCTAAGCTAGCAGAGCTGTGCCTTAGCCAGCCAGTCCAGAAGCAGGTAGAAAGGATCAAGGATGCATACTTACTGGACTTCTCTATTATGGAAATGGAGTTCACAAGATTAAGATAGACTGGCTGGAGTAACCAGGCCCAGTGGCTCCACCTCTCCAGGTCCACCCCTTCACCATCCCGGAGCTCCCAACTCTAGTGGACCCATTTGGAATCTCAACGCTCCCAGCCTCCAGTCTAAACTCCAGGTTGCCTTGGCAATGGAAATGCTGAGTTCTGCCCCGACAAGGTCTGGATCTACCAGCTTGCTTGTCCCTTTTCAGGAAAAATTTTGATATAGAATTGATTTTCCTTGTCTGTCTGTGGACCAGAACAATGCATCGTTTTCCCAGGCTCAGGCCTATTTCCTCAGAGCCTAAAGACTTATTCCTTTCTTTACAGGAAACTGAGAGCCTTAGTAATTAAGCAAGAAAATTGGTTTTAAGCCTTTTGGGGAAGTCTAGCTGAGTGGATGGAGCCCTACACAGGTAGGCAGGAAGGAGATGTGGGTTCTTTAACCTAGGCATTACCACAGATTTATAACAGTAAACCCTGAGCAAGTTTCAGCTTTGTCTGGGCCCTGAGGAAGCTGGTGCTATATAACACGTGGTTTCTGGAATACTGTGTTTGAACTTGGAGGTTCCACTCCTCTATCTCTGCTGGAGTTGATGATTCTCTCTGGAACCTTGACAGTGTTTTGGTCGAGCATTTGACGGTGGACCAAAATCTCAGCAATTGTAACCCAGCAGTGACTCCAAAGGAGAGAAAATTTGGTAATCTGCTCTTATGAAGATTAAGCCATTGCCTTCAAGTGGACTCATAGTGATACTCTGCTGAGTTTCCAAGACTGTAAATCTTTCCTAGAGGAGACTATCCATCTTCCTGCCTCAGAACAGCTGGTCCATTTTGAACTGCTAACCTTTCAGTTAACAGAACAACACATGACAAACTATACCATCAGAGCTTTCTTCAAGAAAGTTTGAGGCCAGTTTGTCTCTTTGACTCTGTCCTAAAGTGGGAATCAATTTGATGGCATACAACAACCCTACCAGTGGCTCAAAATGACCACAAGAGGGCGGGCATCTTCTTCAGAGTGAACAATCGCGTTTCAAAATGAACACAGGCTTCTAAGTGGAAGGGGACCACAATTGACAACAGTAAATAGTGGAACTGAGTATTTAAATCTCCAGCCCCAATGTAAGATCAGGAGCCCCAGGATGAGGAGAGGTTAGAGGAGAGGGGTTGGGGGCAGCAGAGGAAAGACTTTGGAGATATTGATCACTTTGAGAAAGGTGTAGCAAGGTTTTAAGACAGGGCTGAAAATATTGCCCCAGGAGTCCTAAGGTGGAACTTGTGAAAGACAAATTTTAGTGTTTAGAGAAGATGGAGGTAATCAACTTAGTTCCTTCCCTTCTCCAGCCAAAATAAAAAGCTGAAAGAAAAATTGTAGGAGTTATTACAGTAGAGAAATTGTAGGAGTTATTACAGCAAAGAAATTGTAGGAGTTATTTTGGGAAAGATTCTTCTATCTCAGTGAGTAACTAAGGACCATCTGTCATCCTTTTCTCTTTTTTCTTTTTTGCCTTCCAGTAATGTCGTTTCAGGAACTGGCAAAAATAAGAACCACCAAATGGGGCAATTATCTTGGTTCAATGGGTTAATTTTCATGAATTCATTCTGATATCACCTATAACTCTTGCTCACCCCTCCCCCCACACTTGTCCCCTCCCTGAGCCCCAGGTTGGCAGCTTCCCTGAATTCTTTCTTCCGTGTAATTCACTGGTGCCCTGGGACTCATGCCCAAGAGCAGGTCCTCTGCTCCCTTCTTTGGGTCCCAGGAGTCTTGGGCTTACTCTAAGGGAGGAAACGGGCCTTTCCCTCACTCTCTGCCCCCTCCCAGGATGTGGGGCCAGGGACCAAAGAACTTCTGTCTTTCCCCTACCACGCCTCCATTGTTTCTCAGACAAGGGGATTCCTTGTGTTCCAACCTCCAGCAGGCACCCTTGTGACCAAATGGTGGGAGGCATGGGGCAGTGTGGGGGAAGGAAAATCACTGGGTCAGAGAAGAAACCACCTGCCCCTGTCTGAAATTCTGATATTCCCCCAAACCAGACAACTGCAAGCCTCTAGGTTCTGAGGGCTCTCATCAACAGTGGGGGGAAAGGCGTAGGGTTCTCTGCATATAAAAGCCCTAAAGTCTGAAGAGAAAACTGAGGTGTGGCAACACAAAGGCTGCTCCTCTAGGCAATCAGATTTGAAGCTGGAATACCAGAATGGGGGTAAGGCCTGGATGAAACAGGGAACTGTGGCAGGGGCTGATCAAACAGACTTTATTGAAAAGAGGAGGCAAAAGGCCCTGTTAGCTCCCCTTCCTAAAAGCACAGGGCCAGGTATAATGGCATCAAAGACAGGGATGCAGCCACAGAGATCATCCTATTCCAGAAGTAAGAACCTTTCTGAAAATAAGCACATCTGATTGAAAGTGAGACAATTTCCTACCAGAAGGGGTAGGACTGTCCCACTTGCAGAAAATAATAGTACAACAATAAATGGTTACAGTATCACTTAACAACAGGGGCTCAGATACCACTTTTCTGGGCTATCATCAATCAAAACTGGTGCAGAGAAAGTATTCCACTCTCCTGGCAGGAAATTACATCATTCAACAAAAAGGAAGGGTGGCTTTCTACGAAGATGGCGCCAAAAACGAAGAAGGAAGCCCTTGCCCCTCCCAAAACTGAAGCCAAAGCAAAGGCATTGAAGGCCAAGAAGGCAGTCCTGAAGGGCGTCCACAGCCAAAAAAAAAGAAGATCCGCACGTCACCCACGTTCCGGCGGCCTAAGATGCTGAGACTCCGATGGCAGCCCAAATACCCCCGGAAGACATCAAATTTCCCCTGACCACTGAGTCAGCTATGAAGAAGATAGAAGATAACAACACACTTGTGTTCATTGTGGATGTCAAGGCCAACAAGCACCAAATTAAACAAGCTGTAAAGAAGCTCTATGACATTGATGTGGCTAAGGTCAACACTTTGATTAGGCCTGATGGAGAGAATAAGGCCTATGTTCGACTTGCTCCTGATTATGATGCTTTGGATGTTGCCAACAAAATTGGGATCATCTAAACTGAGTCCAGCGGGCTAATTCAAAATGTAATAAATTTTTCTCACACACAAAAAAAAAAAGGAAGGGTGAAGGTTTCTGGGAGGGTCCGGGCCCACCCCTGCAAGGCTGACCCTGAGTGTCCATGTCCAGGAGTGGTCTAATAGCCTTAGACCTTGGGTGAAGTAATCACAACTATCTCTTTACTAGTGATCCCCGAGGGGTCCTAAATCCCTCAAATCCTTACTAGTGGGTAGGTAGGGATCAATACCATTACCCTCACTGCATGCCAGAGGCTAAGCCTGTAGAATCAGTATATCAGTGGAAATAGTTGTAAGGACCCAACGATTGAGAGATAAATGCCAGAAATGCCCTAGGGACCAACGGGATAGTGAGGCCTGGTTTCCATGGTAACCATGGAGTGATGATCCCAATACAGCCTCTTACTAACCTCAGATTGAGACATAATTTTAAAGGAGCAGGGCCTAAAGATAAGAGAAGCCACAGCATACATTTACAAGAAGGTCACATCATCTTGGCACTGTCCCCAGTACCAGTGGGCTTCAAAGCCTACCTTGGCACTCTCATCCTCTGAAGGTTCAGGCAGTCCACCCTGGTGCTCTTCTCCTGAGGACTTCCATCCCACCCTCAATCCCCCTAGCCTGGCAACTGTCAGGTCCACCTCAGTCCTGGCCCTTTCCTCACCAGTTATAACCCTTGCCCAGTCCAGCTCAGGTGGGGGAGCCCCAGGTGGAGGCTGTTCATCCAGTTCATTGGGTGCCACTGTGTCCAAGAAGCTACCAATGGAAACACTATCCAGGCGGTCAGTGGAGTTGATGTCTGGCAGGCTGTCCCAGCTGCCCCGTCTTGAGTGGACTGGGCTCCCACCTGTCAGGCTGTACTGGCTGCTGGTGAGGCTGCTGCAGTGGCTGGTCAATGTCCCCCGATCCTCCAAAAGCCAGCGCACTGCCTCAATGCCTTCATTCAAGGTGACCAGCTGCTGCAGGATCTTCACATCAATGACTCGCAGGTAAGCCTGCAAGAATGAGAGAAGGGGTTATCTAAGGTCCTCAGCCATAATGTCCCCAACATTTCCAGAGGCTCCTACCTTGTGACCCATCCAATTATGTTTTACTTTGAAGCCTAGAAATAGAAGGCAGTGTGGGCTTTAGAAACAGACAATGTTTAAAATTCCAGCTTTATGTATGACTGGGCAACCTTCTTAACTTCTTTGAACTTAAGTTTCCTTGTTTATAAATAAATAAAGCTAAATAGCTCATCTCATTGAGTGGCTATAAGGTTTTGAGATGCTGTCAAGTACTCAATGAACTGATGGCTTTAAATTGAATATACCCTGGTCTGCCAAAATGACAAACTAATTTGTGTTAGAAGTGCAATCAGAATGCTTCTTAGAAGCAAAGATGGTGAATTTCACTCTTTGGACAAGTCATCAAGAGGGGCTAGTCCTTGGAAAAGGACATTATGCTTAGAGAAATAGAGGATCAGAGAAGGAAGGACCTTCAATGAAATGGAATGACTATAGCAATGGATTTAAGTCCAGTGGAGACTGTGAGGATGGCACAGGGACAAGTTTTCAATCTATAGACTGATAGTCGACTCAGTGGCACTTAACAACATAATGCCAAACCACAGAATAAGGTCTCAGTAAATGTTAGGTATTAATATCTGGTACTATCGAGCATTGAATTTTATTTAGAGTACTATGAAAACCAGAAGTCCAGATTCATCAGTAAAACAGTGGAAGCATAGCCTGATATGGAAATCAGGTGTTAATTTAGAATTAGACTGAGCCAAAAGGAGACAGGGCTAGGGAACCAATTTCAGGGTGGTGGTAGCAGGTGCTGAGGGAAGCAAAGGTTGGTCAGAACTCAGAAGAGTCATAATCTTATTTGCTGAAGACTTTAAATTTCTTCACCATGTTTTACAGAAAGTTTCCCTGTCCGTACTGGGGAGTGGTTTGGTTTACTGGGTATTCTCTAGGGTCTGGTATAACTAAAACTGCGATAGCTTTCCTAAGCACAAGTCTGAACCTGTCCTTTCTCTGCTCAAAGGCTTTATGAACTCTGCACTGCTCTTAGAGAATAAAATCTAAACAGTCTAGCAGCCAGCACTTAAAAGCCTGTCATAATATAGCTCTTACCCATCTCTCTAGCTTGACATCTAGGATATTCCTCTATAAACCCAAAGTCCTGCTACATACCACTTTTTAAAAGTTGTTTTAATTTTAATCAAAACAATAGGTACATCTAGATTAAAGAGTCAAACAGCTTTCCATGATTTATTACAAAAAGTATTAGTTCCTCAATCCTACTCCTAAATTTCACTTCCCAGAGACAACTATCTTAATATTTCAGCTGTTTCTCTTAGTACTTACCCTCAAATCTCTAAATAACATTTTTATATTGCTACTTCTTGATTTTTTCAGTTTGCACTGACAGTTTATTTTAAAACTATCTTCTCACACTATAGAATATTATTTTACTTTTTCATATTTTCAACTCTCTTGCCACACAAATACCTTTCTCATCCTCCCAATACATGCGAGAAAGTTAATTATCCTGCATTTTCTTAATTAGGATTTGAGACTATTATTCACCATTATCTTGGAAGAAGTACACCCAGAATGCTTCTTAGAAGAAAAAAAGCAACAAACTGTCTCATGTACTTTGGGGCAATCCTTACAAAAGGACATCATGTGTAGAAGAATGGAGGATCATTGAAGTAGATGGACTGATTGACGCAGTGACTATAACAATAGGCTTAAGCTCAGTGGAGACTGTGAGAGACTGCTATGAGTCAGAGTGGACTCAATGGCACCTAATAATAATAATTTATAGCTAAGTCATATATCTTACTTTGATTCTTTTTTTTTGGCTTAAAGTTTTTTTTCCTTAAAATTTTCTTTGCTTGTTCATTTTCTTTGGATTGACATAATAACCATAGCAGTGAGCTCAAGTGTGTTAGAGATGGTAAAGTTAGCACAGATTGTAAGGATAGGACAGAGTTCAGGTCTGTTGTTCATAGGATCACTATGAGTCATACTTGACTCGATGGCACCTAGCAACAACAATATAGTTATCAGGGAGTTCTGGTGGCTCAGTGGTAAATAATTGTGCTGTCAACCTAAAGGCATGCAGTTTGAACCCACTACCTGCTCTGATAGAGAAAGATGGACAATTTCCTGTGTGATTTACAACCTCTAAAAACCCAGTAGAGGGTCAGCTATGAGTTGGTTCTGAATTGATGACACATAACAACAACATGGTCTTCACAATTACTTGCTATGCATCAGAAAGCTAGACAATGATTTTAGAAGGATAACTGAGGCCTTTGAGTTCTGATGCTGGGGAAGAGTACTGAATATATCATGGACTGCTAGGAGAATAAACAGGTTCATCCTAGAGGGAGTGACACCAGGCTGCTCCTTGGAAGCAAGGATTCTAAAGCTCTGATTGACACACTATGGGCATACTGCAAGGAGGGACTAGTCCTTGGAGACGGACATCATGCTTGGAACAGTGGAGGGACAGTGCAGGAGAGGAAAACCCTCGATGAGATAGATTGACTCATCATGATAATGGTTATTCACCATTATCTTGGAAGAAGTATATCCAGAATGCTTCTTAGAAGAAGAAAAAAAAAACTGTTATGGGGTCATGACGGTAGGTATGTCAGAGATAATAATGTTGGCTGAGGATAGAGCAGAGTTCAGAACTGTTTGCATAGGGTTGCTATGAGTCACAAGTGACTTGACAGCATATTACAGCAACAGCAATATATATATTTATCAGTAACTAATCCCCAGAATGATGACCTGACCCATCATCATTCTGGAAATTAGTTACTGATGACTCACCAGTCTATACCAGAAAATTTGGAGAACAGCTATCTGGGCAATGGATTGGAAGAGGTTTGTTCCCATTCCCAAGAAAGGTGATCCAACTGAATGTGGAAACTATCAAACAATATCATTAATATCACATGCAAACAAAATACTGCTGAAGATCATTCAAAAACAGTTGAACAGTGCATAGATAGGGAATGGCCAGAAGTTCAAGCAGGATTTAGAAGAGGCTGTGGCACCAGAGATCCTAGCTGAAAGTCAAGAATACTAGAAGAATGTCTGTCTGTGCTCTATGCTTTATAGACTATGCAAAAGCATTTGACTTGTGTGGATCATAACAAGTTGTGGTTGATATTCAGAAGAATGGAAGTCCCAAAGCACTTGACTGTGTTCATGTAGAACCTATACCCAGACAAGAAGGCTGTTGTGCACATGGAGCAGAGGAGCACTGCGTGGTTTGGATCTGGGAAGGGAGTGTGCCAGGGTTGTATTCTCTCTCCATATCCATTCAGTCTGTATGCCGAGCAAGTTATCCAAGAGGCTGGACTGTATGAGGAGGAGTGTGGCATCAGGATAGTAGGGAGATTAACCAATAACCTGCATTATACAGATAATACAACCTTGCTCGCTGAAAATGAGGAGGACTTGAAGCACTTGTTGCAGAAGATCAAGGAATGCAGCCTTCAGTAAGAATCACATCTCAATGTCAAGAAAACAAAGATTCTTACCACTAGACTGATAGGCAGCATCATGATGGATGGAGAGGAGATTGAAAGTGTCAACAGCTTCATCTTGCTTGGATCCACAGTTAACACCCTTGCTACCAGCAGTCAGGAAATAAGGAGATTCATTGCACTGGGAAAATCTGCAGATAGGGACTTCTCCAAATTATTAAAGAGTAATGATTTCAGTTTAAGGACTAAAGTGTGTCTGATTCAGGCTATGGTCTGATTATTCACTATGCATCTAAGAGCTGGACAATGAATAAGAATGACAGGAAAAGAATTCACGCATTTGAGCTGTGGTGTTGAAGAGCACCGAATATCCCGTGGATGCCAAGAGAACAAACAAGATATGTCTTGGAGTGGGTGCAGCCAGAGTGCTCTTAATAGGCAAGAATGAGGCTTCACCTCACATACCTTGGGCATGTTGCTAGGAGGTGCTATTCCTTGGAGAAGGACATGATGCTCAGAAGGGTGGAGGGTCAGCAAAGGAGAGGAAGACCCTTAACAAAGTCTTAACTAGATTGATGTGGTGATTACCACAATTGGCTCTTAAATGTAATAGTGTGAGGATGACGCAGGATAGAATAGGGGTTCAGATCTTTTGTTCATAGGGTCACTATGAATCATATTTGATTTGATGGTGCCGAACAAGAACAACAACAATTCCCAGAAAATAGGAGTAAATAGGCAATGTAATATTTTGTGATTTACTGCCATGTGATTTACTGCCTCTGAAAACCCACTGGAAGATCAGCTGTGAGTCTGTTCCGACTTGAAAGTCTGTAAAAGCAGCATAAAAAAAACATATCCATCACCATTGAGTCAACTCTTGACTTATGGTGACCCAAGGTAACAGAGAAGAGTAAACTACATAGGGTTTCTAAGGCTATAAATCTTGACAAAAGTAGATTGTTTCATCTTTTCCTATGAGCACCTAGTAGGTTTGACCACCCAGTGTTTCAAAGTTTCACAGCACTTTGCCAGGATGTGGGTCTATTTTAATTGTTAGTTAGCTACTTGATGATCCCTTTTAACCTAGATATTAATGCCTTTCAAGTTTGCAAGCTTTTATTTATGATTCTTTTTCCTCCAATATTTTTCCTGGAAATGTTAATATTTTAATAGAGAACCTCTATTTTCTTTTCTTTCTTTTTCTCTTCCATTTATCTATATTTGCTCTATTATCTGAAAGTTTTCTTCTATGACATCAATTCCTCTATTGAGTTTTTCATGTTTTTTTAAACAATTTTTTATTTTTATTTTTTTCTATTGTTAAACATTTTTTTTATTGTTTTTGTGTGAGTGTACCGTCAAATCAATCTGACTGGTACAGGAGGAGATTGTCCCTCCTTCCTCGGCAGAGCATCTGGTGGATTCGAACTGTGTGCCTCTGGGATTGTAGTTGCAGCTCCTTACCACTAGGCCACCAGAGCTCCCCTAAACATT